GGCGGCGGCCCGGGACCCGCGCGCGCTCTCTCTCTCACTCGCTCGGCTCGCTTTCTCGCTCTCCCGCTCCTGGCAACCGCCGCAAGCGCCGGACCCCGAGCACTTCCAGGCGCGCGCGCTTCTTCTGCAAAAAGTTGAGGGCTCTCTCTCAACTCGTTATCAGGGTGTCATATGGGTGACATCACTCCTCCAGCCAACCAATGGCTGTGGCCGACCCCGCCCAGCTCCCGTTATTAACAACAGGTCCCGCCCATATCCCCGCCCCCTGGCCAGTTTGCAAAGATGGGGGGTGTCTAGAAATATGTTATTTTTTTCAAAAGAAATCCGCGAGTGCGTACAGCTGTGCGTGTCTCCAGGGCGGACGCAGGACGGGGCGGGAAAGACCAGAGTGGGCACAAGGGTGCGGACGATGAACTGAGCCTCGGTGCAGACGCGCCCACGAGGCGCCGCGAGTGGGTGTCGCTGCTGGTCCCGGGCGGGTCGCGCCCTGAACCCGCACGCGATCGCTCTGCGCCTCTGCCAGGCGGAAGGTGGCGCTTCGACACCGCGCGGCGCCGTGCACGTGGGATCATCCTCTGGTTCCCTTTCTACCCCCTTTCTGGAGTCGGGTCGGCCGTGCCCTCCCTTCCACCCGCGCACCCGCAGGATTTTGTCCCGTCTCTTCCCCCTCACCCCCCCGCCTCCCGTTTTCCCTCCTAGATTGCGCGCCGCCCTTGATTCGCCCGGAGTAACGGTCTGTTGAGACCAACCCGCTCCGCGGCTCCGAAAGGAGTCTTAGGTGTCAGGCGGGACGGGTCCCTCGGTGGCCCGGGACTCAGCATCGCCGCGCGCTGCCCCTCCCCCACTCTCTACTCCACAGACCTCCCCCAACCCAGCGTCCCGCCTCCTCCTTCCATCCCCCACGCCCTCCTCCCCTGCAGCTCGGTCCTGAAACCCTGGCTATGCTTCCCAGCACGCACCTTCTGGGTCATTTGCTATTTTAACCCAACGGTGCAAACCGAACCTAAAATGAGGTGTACTCGGGTTTAAAGCAAAGATATTTCTTATTTTCCTGCAAAGACTGCCGCCGAAGCGGCAGCCCCAGCCTAGTTGCTTTGCTGGGCTCCTTGGAAACTCGCTTTTCTTTGTGTTGTCTCTTACCCACCTATGGCTCTTCTGAGGACAATGAAAAGAAGCTCTCTGCTTTTTGTTTAACGTCGCTGCTCACCCTGTCTTCCTCAGACCCATCCACCCTCAGCACTGGGGGCTGGTTCTTAAGATCTACAGCCCCTCACCCCACCCGGAGTCGCTCACCCGAGAAATCGGCCGCCCGGGACTAGTGGAATTATCTAAACACACTTTCTTTCAGGTTGGTGTACTGTACAGGTCGGTAGGCTTCTCATCCCCCATCCACCCCCACCCGCGGACAATGGTGTCAGGTCTTCACAGATCATTTTATTTAAAAAAAAAGAAAGAAAGAAAGGAAAAAGAACCCTGTATTTCACCCTTGTAGGCAACCTGAAAAACAGCACTGTCCCAAGTACATGTAATAGTGAAGCTAACCCCAGTCTTGATAACGTTGGCATTTTATTTTATTGTTTAAGGCCACTGGAAGCATAAGAATTTCCAGTCGTACTGGGTGACCCGAAGTCTGAAGTCTGGAAACCCATATGGTGTGTGGAAATCCATCTTTCCGGACAAGGAGACGGCCTCTTGTTTTCCCTCTTCACCGCCTGCATTTCTCAGCGATGGGGGACGTCGGGGAGGATGGGGTGGGGCCAGCGAGTCCCCATCATGGAGGAAATCTACACTCTTAGATGCAGGGAAAGTATTTCATCTCAGCTTCCTGTCCGCATGTGAATCATGGGGACATATACCATCGTTATTATTTATTTTATTATCTCGTGACTTTTCCCTCTTTTCCCTCCCCATTCCTTCCTATCTCGCGACCTTTCCCTCCCTGGTCTGTGGTTTTTTTTTTTTTTTTTTTGGTTGTTGGTTTTTTGTTGTTGTTGTTCGTTTGTTTGTTTGTTTTGTTTTGAGACAGGATCTTAGTCTATACACCCCAGGCTGGTCTCGAACAAGGGACATTCCACCTGCCATCACGTGTGACCACGTTTTAGACTGTAACAGAATACATATTTGAAAACCTTTGGCAATTTAAATTTAAATCTGTACTTATTTGCTACCGTTTTTGGTATGAAATTATGCACAGCTTTAGAAGATCAACCCCAGGAGAGAAAGATAGAGCCAGTGTGTGTGTGTGTGTGTGTGTGTGTGTGTGTGTGTGTGTGTGTGTGTCTGTGTGTGTGTGTCTGTGTGAGTGCGCACACGCGCTCTCTCAAAAGGCTGTGGTGCTCTAGGGGGAATGCCAGGCAAAACACACACTCTTTCTAGTGAGAAGACAAGTGGGTCATTTGCTGGAGAAGATGGGTTCCAACAAAAGGGGCTGAATTTTGGTGTGGAGGTCCAGAGGCCCAATGTGACAAGTGAGAGACTTGCTGGTCCTTGAGTCAACAGTTGCGTGGGGGTGGGGGGAGGGGTGGGACTGCAGGTGCGGCCTGAGAGCCCAGCAGGTCTTACTGCAGTCCAGCTTAGGAGCTCCTTCACAAAAGATTAATTAACTTGATATTTTGTAACTAGGATCCACCCACTTTGTTGATGCTGTCCCTAGTTCTTCAAGGACTGGGAATGAAAGAAAAAGAAAATCAGAAAAATCTGTAAACATCTTTCTCTTTTCAAGCTACACTGAACGTCTTTGTTTACTAAGAGGAAAATTTAAGTCTTTTCTTTTGAAAAAAGAAATAAAAGGAGAGGGGAACGTGGCAGAAGCCCTATTTGTTGCTTCCAAGAGCAGCACACTCTTCTAAAAGAAAAAAAAAATCAGATTTCATAATACCAGCAGGAATCAACTATTTAAAGCGTTATTGTCTAAGGGATGCTTAATCTTCTTCAGTAGTATCTATCTTTCCAGGTTAATTTAGTAAAATGGAGATATTTCTGTACACTTCACACCCAGTACCCCCTTCCTTTCTCTACCTGTGTCTGAGGTAGGTGCTTTTCCTGTTAAGGATGGACATTGCTAAATCCATAATTAACTCTCAGAGTCTTGATGGTCACATTTGTTTGGGGACCCTGTGACTGACTGTGTCACAAACAAAAAATCCAATACATTGGCCTTGACCTTCCTTTGCCTATATCTCATTTCCCAAAACAAGTTGCTGAACTGTGTCTGTTCCTCCGCATGCCAGGTCCTCACAAATGTCCCTCAGGGGAGCAAAAAATGAATGTCACCCTACCTTTGAACAACACAGACTCAGACAAGCACCAAACTAACTGTGCACACTTGTGAACCAACTGAGGCTAAGGAACTATGTAAACTCTTCAGCAAATACTCAATTCTATGCATGCTGCAATGCTAAGGCTTCTGCCAAGACCATGCTGTGAGGGTAGGATCTGACCTCTGGACAATTTTAAATACAAGTCTGTCTGCTCTGTGCTCTCCGCAAACACATAGGCGTGCATACACAGGCACACACACACACCTGCATGCATATGCTCAAACATGCACACATAACACACTGATAACCTGGGATACAATCACTGTTTTATCAGGACACACTCAAGTTGCTGGAAGGATCTTCACGTTGATCTTCCTTTCCTTTGTTCTCCACACCATCTCACTGGACACCATGACCCGCTAACAAATGAGCAGGGAGGTGATGCAGCACAGCACTGAGGCTTAGGAAGTGACATATGAGCCAGGAGCAGTGGTGGCACATGCGCTTGGGAAGAAGAGGCAGGCAGATCTGCAGAGCAAGTTACAGGACAGCCAGAGCTACACTGGACAACTATGTCCTGAAAAAACAGAAGGAAAAAAAAAAAGAAAGAAAGAACTTGTATATGTTCTCCTCGTGACCAGGTCAGGGACATATCCACACAGAAACCAAAGGACCAAAAGTCTTACCTTGCTTCATTCTGTGCAATTCAAGCTGATTCTGTTTCTCTAGTCTATTCCATTGCCGTGCGTTTAAAACAAAAAATGTCTTCAGAGCACCGCAACACCAATGTACCAGCAAAGAGTGGGAAACTATACTGTAGAGGTAGAAATCTGTCACTGAAGCAGTTTGCCTTGCATTGAAAAGTCTGACGCCAGAGTCATTTATTTTTCCCTAGATCTTATTAGGTATCCCTCAACTTTGGGATAATAATGACCAAAGTATTCCACATATTTGCTCTTCCTGAATCATTCGAGTTATCTTTTCCTTGGTCTATAAAATAGACATCCTTGTTTCTTTTAAAAAAGAGATTTTTTTTTTTTTTAAAGAAAGCAGCATTGGGCTCACAACAAAACTGAGTGGAAATGCAAACAGGTTACAACTTAACTTCCGTCCTCGTGTGTACACGACTCCCAGGAGCACAGCATCCGTACTTCAGTGGTATGTGGGCTATCGTCTGTGAACAGGTCTCCGTCCACTATAGCTGTGCATCCACCCTTGACATAAGTTCCGCTGGTGCTGGCAATTTGAGGGACTTGGCGTATGTCCCGTCATCATTACCTTGTCACCCCGAGTGTTCAGGTGAAGATGTGCAGCCTCACCTCCTCGTCCTTTCTAGGCGCCAGCATACCCTGATCTTATTATGACAAGGCGTGTCGTGTATGGGAGCTGCTCAGCACACGGAACTTTCAGGCCAGCTCTTTCCACACAGTCAGCGGCGCATAAGCTCATCCGTGTTTCCATGGTTTCAGGCCCTGGTGCACTTTTGGAACCGGTGGTGCTCTGAGTCTGTCTGGATGTGGCACGGCCTCCGTAAGGCCACCCTGCCTGCTCCCAAGGTTGGCAGAAAAGAGTGGATCTACTGGCAACACCTTGTGCAGGTGTGTGGGGAGGGGAGGGTAGAAGACGTCTGTATAAACAGATTGGGGAGGAACTTTTACTGACCACTCAGGGGGTTGTTTAACATGTAAGAAGTCACATAACTGTCTCCTAAACCTTGGTGTTTTGTATTGGTGTATTTTGTATTTTGTATTGGTACTTCACAGTGGGAACACTCTCTGAGTTGCTGAAGTTTTCTCAAGGCCTTGCTCTCTCCCAAAGGAGGACCCCTGGGTTGAAGTGGTGGGGAGGGGAGAGGGTCCCTGCCTATTATGCTAATTCTACCATGGGGACAGGAGAGGTGGGCTAAGTAAACCCCAGAGACAGAATCTATGAGGGGGACAGAGAGGGCTGAGCCCCTCTCAGGGCTGAGGAAGCCTGGTCCTTGGGCACTGGTCTCCTTTGGCCGCGGTGTCTTTGCCTTGTGTACAAAAGAAGATACGTGAGATTTTGGACATGGTTGTGAACGTGTGATTGAAAGTTTGCGCGTGGGATCATGTGATTGTGTGTGAACAGGGCCTGTGTGCACACAAGCGCCACTTGGGCACAAACAGCTTTAAAGGCACAGACCAGATTTCTTTAAACCCCAATCCTATCCAAGTGTATTCAGTTCAGTCACTCGTCAGCCGGAAAAATGACAGCAACGACAAAACCACCTGTGTTCTTAGTGGTAAATGTGTCCTAGTGGATGAAGAAGACCAAGACAGAAAAAGACTGCAGAATGGAGTGACCTGGTATGGGGCCTGGATTTACTTGCAGAGAGCAGGCACTTCTTCCTATGGGCAGGAAGCTATGCATCGCTGTACCACAGTAAATTACAAGACATTTGCTGCAGGGTGAGAGGCAGGGGAGGGAAGATAGCCAGGGGTTCAGTCTCTTGTCACCTTAGGCTATTATTGTGTGCAGAGGCAGGGAGAGGCAGAGTGGGGCAGGTGTCCTTCATGAGGTGCTTCCAAGCTCACCCG